GAGATGAAGTCACATATGACAAGCCGGGAGAGTTGGGTGTCAAAGTCTTGAGAAAGTTGGATGTTCATCATTCATCACTTCTAAGTCACATAGTGAGTTCCTGGGACTACTATGAAACAGACTATGACATGAACCTTATGATCATATCTATTGCTTGGGCTGCTGAATCACAGGATGTGGAACGATAGTAAAGCAAATTTGATTAGAAGATCAACTTCCCAAAAACTTTATGGACAGTGGACAATGGTGACACTGGAAGCCAAAAAAGCATTCTCTTTCCCAAGGAAAGGGATTGACCATAGTCCACCCGGTTGACCAAATGGTAAAGAGAAAGGCTAAGTCTGAGATACCCATTACCAAAGGGTCCATATGTTTATTTTGCCAAAGGAAGGGGCGTTGATTGCAAAGCTGCCAAATTTACCTAAGGATGTTAAAGTCAATAAGTTTGACTCTACATCAGGTACAGCCCATTATCTAACTCTGTTAAGTTCTATTCTGAGATCCTCATTACATGATGTGACTGAGTCACATGTTGATGTTTAAGAATCAAAGAATAGAGAGAAATCTTAAAGGAAGTATATGTTGATTCTGATCGCGAGGTGGAAGATTTCGATCGCATAAGAATTTTGAGCAGTTGCTTAAGAGTTTATGATATATTGCTAAGAATAGATAACAACAATTTTCCATGTGGATTGTAAGGATAAGTTTTTCCGCAAAGTTTAAATAAAGAAAATTGTTTAATTTTATTTATTTGAAGTATCCTTACAATGGCATTTGTGGAAAATGTTTGCTTATATGATTCCACTAACAGCAATATTGAAAATGGATTTATTCTTTATTTGTGGTAGTGTCTAAATTTACCAAATCAGGAAAGTTCTCATCACCCAAGTTTCAATTGGACCGAAACTTGGAATCATGCAAGTTGATAGTATGATGAATGAGAACTTTCAAGCATTGGAAAATCAAGACCTAATTACTTGTTCACATGGATGTGTGAGTCAAGTGAAGGACTAAAGGGATCGGTACACATTCTTGTGCACTGGCATGTCCACCACAAAGCTCGTTAAGACTATTTGATTTACTAAAGTTTAGAATATGGTTATACTTACAAGTTTAGATATGAATGAAAACATTGGAAAGTCTCAATGTATGGCAGAACGAATGGGAAGAATCAAATTAGGCAGGAAGATAAAAGTTTTCACAAAGCTGAAAAGATGGGAAGAGTACTTTGTAGCATGTTTGTGATCATCTTAATTATTTAGAAATCATATCACAATTAGTCCTCTAAAGGTCATCTTTGCATTCTTATGACTAAGAAGAGGAGTCATGAATTGTTGAAATGGTTAGATCAGGAAAGGAGTCATACTTCGTTCCAAAACAATTCTTAGAGTCATACTCCCAAGATGGTAACTTGAGTGACATATCTTAAAGAAAGGTTTAAAACACTTGTCAAATGTAAGAGTAAAAGTGTCCTACTCTTGTACATGTGAAATTGGTAAGTTGTGGATGTTTTTGATAAAACAAAGACCAACTAAGGCCAATTGTGTGAAGTGTTTGTCTTGTAAAGAATCCGCACTATCTCTTGAATATTTGGCAAGATAGTTCTTATATGTCAAGAGGATAGTGGGAGTCTTAAGATCCTAAAAGAATTTCAAGAACTAATCAAGAATAAAACTTGAGGTTCTTCACTAGCACACGACTTGAGGTTTTATAACCTATCGTGTTGACATATTCTGTGCCCATTCTAGTTAAAGTTGGCTTTGCATAGGAGTTCTGAAAGTTCTCAATTGGGTTGCATAACAACTTGGAAGCAATGGCAGGCCCTGTACTGCCAGGTGGCAAGAAGTTAAGATTGCTAAGTTCAGTCCATATGAGTTGGTTTGGATTTGTCATAGCCTTGTCTTTGTACTATGGTTTTGACGATTCACATGGATAAAACACATACACCATAAAATCTAAGGGTCATAAGGGTGCTCTCTCCGATTCATGAAATGATGGTGAGGAAACACTTCCACCAGTAGATTTGAAGCAGATGGCAAAAGGTCTAACAATTGAGACTATGATTAACGGCATCCCTTTTCATAGTTCTGAAATTGTTTAGACACACATCATGCTATCTAGGAAAGGGGTATGATTTTGATAAAGTTTGTATCAAAGCATCTCGGATCAGAAATCTGAACTTGGTAAGAAAGTCAATAAAGTATTGATTTCTAGAAGTCCAGCTGAATTCTGAGTACTGTCAAAGCTAGTGGGAGCATAATGTTATGCTAATATCATCATTTAGTGGGAGCATGATAATTATTTGTTAGTGTTGCAAGTTAGCATGTTAATTATAGAAAACAAAAGTTTCAATTCGTGAGGCTGCAGGGATTGAAAAAGTTGTTTTTCTATAATTAAGGGAGAGGATATACTTCATTTCAGTTCTAAAGGCTTAGATTGAGACCTTAATCATCTTTAGTCAAGAATATATATGAATTCATGTTGGATTGGGTCAACTTAAGGAAATTCTATATATTGCGTTCTCAAAATTCGATTATGATTACGGCATCCCTCTTCATAGTCAAATTTTGAAAACATGGCAAATAAAATAGTGTAGCAAAGACTGGTCTAGAATCATGTCTTTATGTGAAACATCATGAATCATGTACCATTTGCTTTGGGTACAGGATCGATTGCATGTGCTATAATATTTGTCATTTCTAAATTTTTCCAAATGCCCAGAGGCATTAAGAAGGGAAAAGGTCTAGAATTGGATATGACTAAAATGATTAAGCAATTGTCGAGGACAATCTGAGGTTTACCAAAGATTGGTTGCTCAGGGACAGTTGGAAGTATAGTGCTAATTTGGAAAGACCATCTTGACATATTCTGAAAAGAGGCATCTCTTATTCAGAAGTGATAGTCAAAATGAGAATATGGAGTTGTCTCCATAGGTGGAAGTTATCTGTGTAAGATTAGAAAACTTATGCAAGAAGCATGTCCAAGCAATGTACTATGAATATGAGACTTAGTTTCCATGGAGTTGATCTCCATTGGAATACCTTATAATGACTGTTGACAAGTCTTTGTGACTTTGTACATATCATTACAGGAGGGTCAGTGCATATAAGTTTAAAATCTAAACAGATTTCGATAAATGATAGGAATTTGAAATTCTCACATTTTTCGATAAGGATTTGGGAGTGTGAAATTAGAATCATTGAAATTATGTTCAATTGGTTTATTTCACAAAGTAAGGATCATAGACAAACATAGAGTGCATACTTGGTGTATGGCAAAGCTATTGTTTAAGAAAAACATAGTGTACATGCTTGGAGCATGGGACAACTAGTGTTTTTTAATTCAAGTATAAAGTTGATAAAACCAAAACATGAATAATGAGTAATCAGTATGGTGATAAATAAAAGTGTTTATTTATATTCATAGGGTTTGATACCATATTTGATTAATTTATTCTTGTGTTTCACTTTGCATGTTTTGACTTCCAGAATAACTAAGTCACTCTTCCTAAATGATTAAGTTATTCAAACTATCCATAGTCGGTCATATGTTGGAAGTAGATATGAATCAAGACTGTCATGGGTTGGCTTGTAGAGGTCTAAGATGTTGGACAAAGCGATGCTACAACACTCATGAGTGCTCATAAGTTCTGAGTATTGGATTCAACCCACGCTCATTTGAATCACTTCATGGATTTTATCACGAGTGATCATGAGACGATAATATCTTATATTCTTAAAACCTAGAGATATGACTTGTTACTATGACTTGGTTATACCATGATTGCACGAAAATGCATTGGTAACTCGATGTTATAAAACGTGCCTTTGTGTATGATTCAACAAGTAGTAGAACAAGCCATATGAGTCGAAGTTTATCCATTCCTTTTACCTTCGGGATAAAAGCGATATCTGTGGGCCCCTCGATGATTTAGCGATGACACATGTGAGTGCTTGGCCAAGCCATGACTAATTTGATTTGTTCAATCAGCCAGTCATCATAAATCAAAAATCGGGAAACAACAAATGGACAGAGAGAATGATTATAATCCATGTCTCAGTCCATATGATATCTAGAATGGAGGAATATATGATCCGTTATCTAATGGATAAAGTCATTGACAAGGTCAGAGTTCGACAGCGGCTTTAAGAGCTACGATTGCCAGTTAGGTTTTGAAGTCATACTCAATAATAGTTTTAGACTTATCCAAGTGGGAGACTGTTGGATTAATGTCTAAGTCCATAACTATATTTGGTATGTACTTGACCCGACCCGACATGGTCCATTTTGGGTCACTTCACCCGCACAATTTATATGGATAGTCTTTTGAGAATAGTTTTTTATGATTTATATAATATATTATAAGTTCTAATATATTAATATGGAATCATATTATTTAATTAGTATTGATCAAGAATTAATTTAGAATTAATTAAGTGATCAAAAAGAACTAATTAAATATGGACTCTTATATAGATGGAATGGGCCAAGTTCATTTAGGTTGGGCTAAGCTTTCATGGATGGTCCATGGAGCTTTTAACCCATGGATCCTATGTAAATGAAAGGTCATGGGTATTAGGGTTTATATGGATGTAACCCTAATCCTCCATAATATATAAAGGGGTCCTTGGCTCACAAAATTGGCACAAGTGTGTGAAAATAAGAGTGGCCGACTTTTAGTGTGCAACATATTCTCTCAAGTTCTTCCAAGGCAGTTTTTTGGTGTTTGTGATTCCATTTGAGGCTTCCACACTATTGGGTCTAAGCTCTTAAAGCTTAAAGACATCAAGCTACATCAAAAGGTATGTCATCTAACTAGAACTTTGTAGTATAGGTGCTTCATAATATGCTAGTTAGGATGAAACCTTGGAATAGTTAATATTTGCATGTATAATAGAGAAAACATAGATCCAAGGTTTATAGGGTTGCATGTACACCATAGGAGTGTTAGAATGCTCAAAACCTAACACCAACAACCCCGCTTAACATGTCGTCGGTGAATGGTGATTCCTCCACGCTGGCAGCGGAGGCTGCGTGGTCTTCGGCGGTTTGCCGGCTCCAAACAACGTCGGCGCCAAGAGTTGAGTGTAGAAGAAGATAGGGCGGCGAGAAATGAGAGCAACGATCGGTCGTCGTCGTTCCAAGCCTTGAAGGCTTCTTCTGCAGCGCTAAGCATCACTGGTCGAAGGATGAAAGTGGCGGTCGGACTCGACACCGACGATGGCGAGACGGTAGAACAGGGGCAGCGGACTCCGACCACGGTTTGGAGGTTAGATCTCGGCGGCTCGATATTTCCGACAATAGCGTTGTGGAGGCATCCGGCGGTTGGCAACCTCAACGGAGGTGGTGCGACGCCGGAGTTTGAAAGGGTGAGAGCGGCGGCTACCGGAAGTGAATAAAGAGGGAAGGTGGCGGCTGGAACATAAGGGAGGGTTTAGGGTTAGGGTTTGCCCATTAGTAGAGTTATATACCCGGTACCTCACATATCTTTGCCATAATGACAGTTTCGGCCCCTCCTCCATAAAATCCTTTCATTGGAAGTCTATAAATTACCATTTAAACCCTGCCCCTTCACTTCAACTACAATTTAAGTCCAAATAATTACCATGGAGTCTCTAACTTCAAAAATTCTTTATAATAAATTAGGAAATCATATCTTTAACCCCCTAAGCTTTCAATTATTTATTTTAGGGCTATTATTCACGCATTAATTTATTTATTTATTTAATAAATAAACAGGGTGTTACATGTAGTAATAACAATAACTCCTTGACCTTTGTAAGCTTAGTGCCTCAAATGTTGCACCTCTAATGGAATCACAAACACTCTTGCAACAAGATGACTTTGGAGAGAGGAAGAAATCGGCTAGGGCAACTCAAAGAAGACATAGGGCCGATTTCCATATGCTAAGGGATCTATTTATAGTTGAGGCTATTAGGGTTTTATGGTGGAAACCCTAATTTCCTTGTTTAGGGCTTAAGCAATCCATGGAGCCCTTCTAGAAAGCCCCTTGGACGAAATCCTTATGGGCTTCCCATATATTTCGTCCAATCTCTTCTATTAGGAAGTCCATAGCCCAACTAGCAACTAACTGTTAATTGCAATATCAATCCCCTTTATTTAATCAGTTTCTTTTGATCACCAAATTAATTCCAAATTAATTTCCGATCAATGCTAATTAAATAATAAGATTTCCAAATGATATATTAATCTTGTAATATATTAATAAAACCATTTTGAGTACTAATTTATTATTCATATAATAAATTATACTCTCTCTCTCTCCTCTTGTCATCCTGTAACATACACGTTCAGTTATCATGTTATGTAATTTTAAAAGTGAAATATATAATGAAATATTATATGAATTTGAGTGTTGAGTTCTAACAGATAGTTTTTACTAGAAATGAAGTAAAACTATGTTTAGAATCACTCGGAAAATATTGAAAGTCTTATGAGATTCCAATCTAATATTGAAATTTAAATAAAATATAAAATTTGAAATAAGTAAAATTTTATTATTGAAAGTTGTAGAGAATCCCGTTCGAAACATTTAGGCGAAAACCTCATCGAAATCCGAGTTAAAACGAAGAAGTTATGACCAATTGAAGCTTCGCGACAGAACCGACACGACGCCGTATAGCGTAAAAAGTGAGTTTTCGATAACTACTTTTTAGCCTTAGTAATCTAAATGAAAGTCGTAGTATTCATTAAATTGAGAACTTTCATAAAAAGAACGTCTAAATCTGACTTCGTATGAGGAAGTTATGATTTTTCTAAAGTTTCGGTATAGCAGTAGACAGCTAAAAACTCGAAATAAAGATCGAGTGATTTTTAGCCGACACAACCTAAAAGAGAATCGAAGGTCTCGTTAATAGTAGTACAACGGTAAAAAGATAGACAAAAACGGACGTCGGATGAAGAAGTTATGAAATTTTAACAGATTTTTCCTGTCTCGGCCCGTTAAAAATATAATATTAATATAATATTAAAGATAAAGTCAAAATTAGCCGACGGAGTCTAAATGAAAGATGTAGAGCATAATCTCACCTAGGCGTGGAAATAAATAACGTCAAAAACGGAGCTCGTATGCGAGAGATATGGATTTTTGAAGTTCGGAGCACAAACTTCGAGAATTTGACTGCATTCACGACGTGAACACAGTGTTCACGACGTGAACTCAGTGAACGACGCGTTTCGAGCCTAGAAGACACACAGCAAGCCTAGGGGATGACCAGGATCAAAGTCACGACGTGAACATACATGGTTAACGACGTGAGAGTCAATTTTTCAGCCTATAAATAGAAATCGAGCCCTCCGGGTTTATGTTACAAATTCTCACTCTCATTCACTCTCTAGCCTCTCTCAAGCCCTTCTAACACCCCCCGAAGTTCCCGAGAAAATCATCTTTCCAGTCGAAACTCTGCCCGCGTAAAGTCCGGATTTTAACTAAAATCCTCGGTTTCGTCAAAGAAAGTTAATTCCTAGAAACGAAGTGCTGTCCGAATCGTCGTTCATTATTCGGTTAATTAAGGTGAGTTCAATATATTGGAACAATTGTATGTTATGTGTTATATATGCTATGTGCTTTTCCGTGTTATCATCTTGTGTTATTATTTCCGCTATTTTGATAGCAAAGCTATACCTTTCGCCATGTGATCAGTGAAAGGACTTAGATTCACAGTGGGGTATGTAGCCTCTGGCCATGTAGAGCATGTCTCCGTAAGAGAATGACTTCTATTCTATGGCATTGGTAGATGGTTAGACAGGGCTATAAGCCTGAAATCTACCAAAATGTTAGTCAGAAATTGTATGTCTTCTGTGCCATTTGGGCCGAAGCGTTATTGATGTTTATCAAGTATTGAAATTGTTAAGTCTCTTTAACTGTATATCTTTGAATCGAGTCATTGATTGTTATGGAAAGCCTGTCAAATGATACACATATGCCTTTGTTGTTCCTTGTTCCTCTTTGCTTCTGCCATATTGAAGTATATATATGGCATAACGTTATATTGTATCTATTATTGAACTCACTAAGCGTCACCGCTTACCCCTCTCAATGTTTAACAATTGCAGGAAATAAGTAACCAGTATAGTCATATACTATTGGAAGATTTAGAATAGTTTATACTATTACTTTTGTATTTGGGTTTACGTTTGTATAAAAAATTATAATATCCTGGGTAGTTATGTAATATACTAAAACTTAGTCGGTTTGTATCCAGTCTTTGTAATTAAAATTATCAATGTAAAATATTGTCTTATGAATATGCATGTAGCATGTTTTGGACTAATAATGTTCTTAGTAGGAAAGTTTAGGGTCTTTCACATCCTATCAAGTTGCATGAGTGAAGGCAACCCAAAAGGACCATGCTCATAATCGGGTCAAGTACATACCAAAATAGTTATGGGCTTAGACACCTAATCCAACAATAAGGTCATCGTGAGGATGCACTGGTTGAGCCCCAATAGGACAGTGATCGACTGCGAGCAGCAACTAGTGCGAGTTTGGACCCCAAGTGGGGGAGGGTTAGTGATTATGGGCGAGAGGCCGTAGGGTGGACCGACTTTATGTTCAGCAGCGAGAGCTTGACGCTACCTTCAACAGGGTTACGCAGGTTATGTCGCCTATGTTATGGATACCCGTGATAAGGGTAAGGCGACAGTGCATGATGTACTGATCGTACGGGAGTACCCGGATGTGTTCCCAAACGATTGACCTAGTCCATGGTGCGTCTCCGATAACCAAGGCACCGTATTGGTTGGCTCCTCCTAAGATGAAGGAGTTGTCTACATAGCTGCAGGAGCTGTTAGACAAGGGATTTATCAGGACAAGCAGTTTGCCATGGGGAGCCCCGATCCTGTTTGTGAAGAAGAAGGACGGGTCACATCGGATGTGTATAGATTATCGGGAGCTGAATAAGGTAACGGTGAAGAACCGTTATCCCCTCCCAAGGATTGATGATTTATTTGACCAGCTACAGGGTGCATCTTGGTTCTCCAAGATTGATCTGCGATCAGGTTATCACCAGATTTGAGTAGGGACGACGACATGCCGAAGACAACTTTTCAGACTCGCTATGGTCACTATGAGTTCGTGGTGATGCCGTTCGGGCTCACCAATGCTCCTGCCGCGTTCATGGACGTCATGAACCGCGTGTGCAGACCGATGCTGGACCGGTCTGTGATAGTCTTCATTAATGATATTTTGGTTTACTCCAAGACTCAGCAGCAGCACGAGGAGCACCCGAGGGAGGTGTTGGACACACTGAGGAGGGATAGACTTTTCGCAAAGATCTCCAAGTGTGAGTTCTTGTTGCTTGAGGTGTAGTTTCTGTGGCACCTTGTCAACCAGAAGGGTATTCTGGTCGATCCGGCCAAGATAGAGGCCGTGATGCAATGGGAGGTTCCGAGGTCTCCATCTGAGATTCAGAGTTTTCTTGGTCTAGCGGGTTACTATCGGAGATTCATCCAGGATTTCTCCAAGATTGATGTTCCCTTGACCCGACTGACCAAGAAGTCGGTGACATTCCGCTAGGGGCCTGAGCAGCATGCAGCCTTCGAGACTCTCAGAAAGCGGTTATGTGAGGCACCGATTCTGACGTTGCCGGAGGGCGTCAATGATTTCATGGTTTACTATGATGCTTCGATCACTGGTATGGGTGCAGTGCTGATGCAGCGGGGTCACGAGCGTACGCTTCGAGGCAGTTGAAGCCTCACGAGGCGAACTACCCGATGCACAATTTGGAGCTAGGGGTTGTGGTATTCACCCTCAAGATTTGGTGACATTACCTCTATGGGGTTCATTGTACCATTTACACGGACCACAAGAGCTTGAGGTACCTGATGTATCAGCTGAATCTGAACATGAGGCAGCGTCAGTGGTTAGATGTGGTGAATGATTATGACTGTGAGATCCTTTATCACCCAAGGAAGGCCAACATGGTGGCCGATGCTCTTAGCCATAAGGCGGTGGCGGCTCCAATTCAGGGTATATGTCTGAGGATGTCAGTGATTACTCCGTTGCTAGAACGGATTTGGGAGGTGCAGGTCGAGGGTATGAAGGAAGAGCGCTGTAAGTGTGATCGGATCATAGGCCAGGTGGCCTCGTTTAATTATGACAGCCATGGATTGTTGACCCTGCATCGGAGGGTCTGGGTTCTTTACTATGGCGGGGTATGCCAGGTTCTGATGGATGAGGCTCACAAGTCAAGATTATCCGTCCATCCCGGGGTGACAAAGATGTATCGGGATCTTCGCCCTGATTATTGGTGGCCCCGCATGAAGCGGGACATAGCATGGTATGTGGAGCGGTGCCTGACTTGCAGGAAAGTCAAGGTTGAACACCAGCGACCTCACGGAAAGATGCAGCCGTTGGAGATTCCCGTGTGTAAATGGG